ACGAAGTACATAAGACGAAGAAATAAAAATTTTCTACCAACAAACTTGACATTCCGCAACGATCAATTCGTTTTAGATTCAGTATACATGAGCGAACATATATAAACAATATACAACAATTCCAATGTTCTCAGGACTGTCATAAAACCATCAATTTATGAAGAGAAAAAAAAATTATTTAAAGTTTTATTTCGATCTTTACTGGAATGACGCACAAGTTTCTAGTCACAAGCTATTACAAACAGACAAATTTACAGAACACGATAAATGACTGTACTGTAGACAGTGACGTATATATCTCTCGCAACAAATAAATGTGTGAAATGTGCACACACTGATCAAACAGCCTGTAGAGTTATAGATGACGGATGTTTAAAATAATTATATAGTTAAACAAACCCTCTACACAACCATATAACTCTAAATACTTCCCACATTAACCAATTGGTTTTTACTATCAGCTAATAGTGCATTTCCCTTCCCTGGGACAGGAAAAAAGCAAAACTGCATTCAAATACAATATCCCGTTATGTTCGATATAAACAAATGAACGGGGTCTACTTGTAATTGGTAGAAGTAAGATATAATTCATATCTTTGTGAAAACACACAAGGTGTATAGAAAATGAAATTGTAAAAAAACATTTAAGTGTAGTTTCACTGTGTCCGGTCAAACATTAGGGCAGAAGTTAATCAATATTTTATTGACGTGGTTACTTTAGTATACTAAATTTTGACGTTAGGTATAACCATCAAACGTATCTAAAATTCATCACACATTATTTACAAGAATTATTTAACGTTTTCGCACTGCAATGCGTGGGATGAAGAGTATTCGTGCCAGAGTAGTTGCAATAACAAAGTTTTACACTTTGTGGTACTGTATGTGGGTCACTGAAAATTGTGAATAAAGTGACGCGCAATTATCTTGGGAATATGGGACTTATTTACGGGTTACTCTATAATAGTAAAGGTCAAGAATTTACTTACAATTAATGACCACAAGAAGAACTATATTTTGCCATACATAAATTTTACGAAGTGTGTAAACTTACATGTAACTAACGTAAGTGTTTAAGTATGCAGAATGACAAATTAACGGCAAGTAAAGTAATTTATTTTAATCTTCATTTCATTGACTTCTTACGTTTTGGCAGTTGCTATATTTGTCTATTTGTTTTTTCAAACAAACCAACGATTCGGGCTCTTTACAAGTCCCGTGGTCAGGGTTGACTCCACTGTACTTTATTTTTAAAAGTAAGTAATACTGTACAGTTAAGAGCACGGCAAGCTTGACTCTTTGTACTTTGGACCGTTCTTATCGAAAGCGGCATAGAGTTGGATTTAAATCTTAAGTGTCAAGCTTGAGGTGATATTGACCCTACATATTGACATCTTGGGTTCTCGCCATTGTCACACATTGTGAAACTATTTTTTCGGATCTAAATGGCATATATTTGTTTCTTTTTTTCAAACATAACAAGGTTTCGCGCCCTTAACAATTCCCATAGTATCGAGTACATCGATGTCTCATGGTCACGACTGACTGACTGAGCTTGTGATACTGTATATTATAAAGATTTGTAATAAATCGGTTGCCTTTACCGGGACTCGAACCGACCAAATAAAAAAAAAGGCTTCTGTATTTTTATGATACCGATGAAAAGGGTAAATATGAATTAAAGATTCCAGTAAATCAAATATGTGCAGTCTTAATGTTTTTTTTAAATCCTTAATGTTGATGTGACATAGGCGTGAAACGTCATTTATAATACTTGTACACTTACACGACTAGTAGTGATACTGAAGCGGTGGTGCTAGTATTCATTATTAATATTAATCCATTAAAGAAATTAGTCCTTTAAATTTCCGTGACTTTCTGGCCTTTACATTACCGTTATTAAACTTTTAACTTTGTTTTTAATTTCCAAATTGTTAACGATAGACAAAAAACGATTCTTTAGCTCATGCAACTGATACTTCTTATATAACGTTTTCAAATCGAACTTAAAACGCAAGTTGTCGACTATCCTGCTTGCCAGCACGTTTATCACGTCGGTTTTGTTCGCTCATGCAAAAGTTAACTTGTTTTCTAAGAACACCAACAGGAAAATTGTCATTTGTCGTTAAATTGTTATAGGTGTACAAACGCAAGTTTTTGTAAAGTTTAGGTTTCAACCTACCTAATGTACATACCATAGTACCAAAAATAAACGTGCAGCACGTATGAAAAGATTGATGCGAGTGGAAAAGGCGGAAGAAAGGAGCGTAGGAAGTGCGTACGCACGTTGGGTAATTTTCCGAAAAATTTCAAATAGTGGAAATTCTTCCCCATAAATTTCCGAAAAATTGTAAAAATATAATTCGAAGGCTCATATCACGTTCTATATAAAGCTCAGTTTATAGATACATCTTTTGAAGTTTTATTTAGCGTAAATTAAAAAAGTTATAGTAAAACGAGACTTCAAATGATTGGAAAACAGCGAAAAAAACAATCATAGGTAAAAAAATCTTTTAGCTCCACCGTTTTCATTCAGTATCTCCAACTTTTGACAGGTGTCAACTGTCCAATGTGAAAAAAATAGAGGAAGAATATAGAAAAAATATTCGGAAAAATTTATCAAAATGGAAATATTTGCTTGACCTAACACTACGCATCCCGTGAGAGACAGGCGTCTCGGATCTATATAAAGTGTAATGCATGAGTTTATTCATGGTTTATTCATGCAAACATTTCCATTTTGAAAGATTAATATTTTTCCGAAATTTATTAAATGTTTTTTTTTTTCAATAATTTTTTTTATTAATGAATACCTACATGAATTTTAAACGCTAGTAAATTAAATCGAGTTCTTACTTAATAATGGCTGTATTCAACGTTAAGAGTATTATGAATTGAAAAACAAAAATATACATTTTCCAGATCTAAAATCGTTTATCCAATGTTGCGAGTCCCATGGTCACGGCTTTCTGGCAGCCGTTCATAACTTCATTTCCAATGTCCTAATCGTCCTAAAAGATGTTATACACATTTAGCGGAACTCTAGTAAAACTCCAAAATAATGCAGTCTGAAATTACAAAATCTGGTCCGTAATTTTGCTTTTTTACTTTTTTCTAATTTGTCAATAAAAATCGATTGTATTTTTTTTTATTCATCTGTTCATTTCCCAGTAATACAGATTCGTCGAGTGGTGCGAAGTTGATTTTGTGTTCTTGTAAATTTTGTAAACTTTACTTGAAATTTTTTTTATTAAACTTTGATTTAATCAATGTTGTAGGTATTTCTTTTTTTCACAATATAATAAAAATGCATTTTGTTTCATTTTGATTTTTTTTAAAAAAAAGGTCAAGTAAAAATTTATTATGTCGATGTTAATTTAATTGCTACTTTATGTCTAATTCTTATTTGTTTAAATATAAACGTCACTATTTTATACTCACACTTTTTCCGGTACGTGTACCTGTGTTTGTATTATAATATTCAAAACAGGATTTCACGGAACTTCTTCACTAACTTAGTACAACAGCACTTTAACTTAAATGTGTGAAATGAATACTTTATTAAAAAATATCATTTCGGAAGTCAACTTTCATTGTTGCATGTTTCAGGTCATCACATAAAGATCACCTTTATAGGACACGCAACATTTTCCTTCAACATTTTGTATACTGCGATTCAAACGTCTGCAGTGTATTTTCCTCTTACTAATTAAACACATGTAAACCTAAAACACATTCAGTGTCCTCTACTTTTCTTGTAAATCAACTAGAAACTCACTTTTTAATTTCTCTATTTGTGCTAATCTGTGATTTTAAATCTATGAACTTATGGTTCCTAGAGCTTGACCTATGCCTTAGACTCCTTAGAGGATGGAAAAAATAGACTTTTTTACTCTTTATTTATTTAGGGACTTGGATCGTTACTGAATAGGGTCGTAGAATCATAATCACAGTTAAGTTGTTGTAAATATTTAAGTTTATTTCAGAAAATTCAAATCGGTGTACTTATTGTGATTGGAAAGGTTTATTGCAAAGGTTTGAATAGAAGCTTAAAAATATGTTATATTAACATTACTACAATGTTGTATAATAAATCACATACTTTGTTATGGCCTTAAATAGATGTTCACAATGGTCAGTTACATTAGTTATTTATGTTACCCATCGTAAAACAAGAGCCAGTATTTTAATACAAAGATGTCAAAACATCACACACGAGTTTATGATAGATAGATGTAGTTAAGTGTATATTGTAGTACAAATAAAGTCCTTTAGTACTGCAATAATATTATGTATGACACATTTACTTTACTAGCCATAATACAAATTCATTTTGATTTTCCATCTTAACATATAGAGAAACAAACAAGGAGCTTCTTTGCAAAGGCATACTAGTCATGAACTCTGTATGTATGTTACGCCGATTGGCAAATCCTTTCATCATTATGGCAAACATGTTTCACACTCCAGCATGGCGGCTACTACTAGTGACGCAAGCAGAGGCGATCCTGGAAACCATATAGTGTATGCTATCGATACGATAAGAAGAAGAATATACATTTGATTGCTTTTTTTATGATATCAAGTGACGGGACGAACAAGTTGTGCGCCTGATGGTAAGTTACACGTTTGTCCATAACAGTTGCAGTGCCACTCAGAGCTTTAAATCGCAAAGATCTGAGGGGCACTGCCACTGCGTCCGTCACCCTGAGACGTAAGTTGCCAAATCCCACGTGCCTGCAATTTCACCAGCACTCTTACTTTTTAAAACCAGAACACGTCATGCTGACATTACTGCTTAGCGGTAGAAATAGTTCAGGTGGCAGTACTTCCCCGGACAAACCCTTACACATGGAGCTCTACTGCTACTAAATGTGATAGGTACATAGTTCAGATTTGTTGTTTATATTGATTGCTGTAAAGAGTTTACTAAAGACCTCTACACAATTTCAAATAGAAATATGACGAAATATAATTACGAAAGTACAAGGTTGCGAGACCTTCATCATCGCTGAAAAGGAGAACAGGTTCAACGGCTCCATTTTGCAGCTTGTCCGTACTGTGTGGCTGCGCAGGCGCACACACCGCACTGCGTAGCAGGGCGGCAAGTTTCTCACGCATCGCATCGCACATGCGTTCCCCGCCTTGACACCCGTCGGCGCCGGCGCCGCGACGCCTTTACGCCGTAAAGCACGCGAGAATCGCAAGCGCCCGCGCGCACGTCGCCAAGCCAAATTCAATCGTACTAAATTCAAAATAAATCCGAGGCGCGAACATCCACAACCAATCTTTTATAAACCAATGTCAAACAGTCAAACACTGCACCAATATCACTGTTACAAACGATGATACAATCAACACGATGTTTAATTATCGAACACGAACATATTGCTTACGTTACAGAAATTAATGTTATAGAGACCTTTAAAGCACGAGTCACGCGGAAATTTTCGATTTTGAGCAAAAATGTACTGAAAATTTTCTGAAATCTGTAACAACAATCACTACCTAATTATGATATTGAATGATTTTGGAAAAATGAAAGTTGGCGTCGTGTAAAATCGGTTACGTTAGACTCTGCGATGTGAGCTTGGGGCGACGTGTCGGGACCGACTGTCTATTCCCGGCGCGAACGAGCACGTGGGCACCCGGCGGCCGCCAACGCCCGCCCACCGATCAATGGGCGAGATCCGACACCTGAGCCTTCGCCCTTTATGTCACACTTATCATCATGCATGACAACGATAACGTCGCCGCATAAATAAACAAACAAAATAAAGCAGTGCTTTTTAATTATCATTTATGCAAATTTTAACTTTTGCGATTTTGCTCGTTCTGGCGTAATCAAAATAGAGCAAGTGTTCACGAATGAAGAAAAAAGCTGAGCTGGTAACTCTGTCATATTTCTTCTCAATATTACGAATTATTATGTTAGAAGTACCTACTCTTAAAGATCGATACTACTTACATGTCGCTGAATTGTGGCCCGTTTTGGAAATTGTATTCGAAAACCATGAACGACCAAACGACGGGTAATGAGACGACGTAATGAATTAGATTGGTCCTTGTAAGGGCATCTCCACAATAATTCACGTGGAATAGACTTAGCCGGCCAGAAGAAGCGTTACGACCATGCAATAATAAGTGCGAAAACTCCCTGCGGAAACGTAACGCGCAATGTCTTTTTCACTCTTTTCTGATGTCTGACTGAAGTTTAATGCGAATCCGTCGATAATTAGTATGGTACCTACTTCCTTATAAGCACGAACGGTGTAAAAATTACTTTAAAAAAAATGAAGAAAAGCAGAGAACAATAACAATATTTATCTCAAAATAGCGGTTCCTAAGCTCTACATTTTTAAAATTTCAGTTTAGTTTATATTCTAAGTCGAATTTAACTTCTATCGACTCTTCATTTATGAAATTAACTACAAACTTTCATTTAAATTTATTGATTTTATGAACTAGATTTTGTAATTGGATATTAAAGTATTTTCCCCGGATCTAAATGAAGTATGTAGGTATCTTTTTCCATCAAACCAACGAACGGGTCCTTTACTGGTCCTTTGGTCACGGCTGACTGAGATGGTAAGCGGATAATGTAGATGCAGTTAGAGTAGTAGCAGTAGACCCGGAATTCGCGAATAGTTTTTCTTTATGTAAATCTTTGAATTCAATATACCTGTTATAATGTAGATACAAATTTTAAACTACGAGTTTTAAAATATTCACATTAAAAAGTAGAGTTTCAACAATAATAACTATACATACCATTCTCGTAGCCATTATAGTGCGATTCAACAAATGCACATTTGCACGTTATAATGCGCTCGTTTGGCACTACATCACACATTTTGCTACTTATTAAAAGCACTTTTAGAATTGCAGTTGCTTTCAACTTTAATGAAACAAAACTCGGCCGTAATTCTTCCAATTAAAGGTTACTTTCGAGGTAAAGGTAGCAATTTGACATGTAATTCTAAACTGAACTGACACGTGAAAGCAACATTCATTGTGCCTTTCTGACATGTTTTATTTTAGTTTATAAATACCTGCATATACACTCGTATATACCTTAGAATAAAGTTCAATCTCCAAAAGTGGCGTTAAATTACATATAGATAATTGATTACATTACGAATGTGAATGTGATAAAATGTTTTAGTTTAGATTAAATGTTCGAGGATTTTTAGATATCAATGATTGGTGCACTACCTGCGTACATCAGATTTGGATGTAAGTAGCAAGATGATAAATTGACGTAGGTACTTTACGCAATATCATATAAAAATGAGCGTAAATATTTTAGTGAAAATGTAGACTTACATTTTACTATTATATGATAGTGTATGCTCTAAGTGTAAGAAAAATTAGAGTACTTGTAACGTAGCAGTGTGTGTGCGCATAAAAAAACATTGAAATAAAATGTACACCGTTATTATTGTCAAACATCTATGCAGTTATAAAATGAAGGAAAATAATAATGTACCAAACAACCACACCAATTGCCTGGTTTCAAACTAGTAAATACCCTCCACTATGAGAACCAGTACCAGAGCAACGGAACTCACTCTGGGGCACTTCCCAGAATTCTCAAGCCTGTTTGTTGATTGTTGAAAAGTTCATTTATTCCTAAATTGGCTCTACCGAGAGTCGAACCTCGAGCCTCCTCATCCCGTGACCATAGCACAAAAAAAGTCAAATAAAAGATGGAAAGAAGTCAAAAATGCTTTCTTTCACTGTAATGAAATATCCTTTTTTTATTTTTTATATATATCAGTTCACAAAACTGGATACAAATTCTTAAATAAAATAAAAGTGGTAAACATTATAAAGTCTAGACGTGAACACAACATTTCGTATTTACAACAAAGAAGTGCTTAAATAATATTATAGTAATTTAAAATTTACATTTACTATTTATTAAAAAAAATAGACAATTAAGACCCGTCGTGCATTCAGCACATAAGACATTTTATTATTGAATTCCTAGCTAAGACCACAGAACCAGAGAATACATCAAAATAGAATCAGATAGCATTACAAGTCTACTTGCACATGCGATATACTGGACAGTGTTGACTGAGGTTGGTTCTACAAGTTGGAAATGAAAAAGTTTTAGGATTGAGTAGGCGGCTTCCGGGACGAAAGACGGACAGGTACAGGCGCTCGAGTATATCAGGTGCATCTATGACACCATGAATAAGTTTGAATAAAAAGATCAGATCGAGCGATTTTCGGCGAATTTGCAATGAGGACATATTAAGAGAGACGTGTCTCATATGAAAATAAGTATTTACATGTAAATTTATTATACGTAAGACGATACAGGAAACGTTTTTAAACACGTTCAATTCTATCCGAATGAACCTGTTAACATAGGTTTCAGATAGTGGAGCAGTATTCTAAAATAATACGTATAAAACTATTATAAATTAAAATTGATATTGTTGGTTCATTACAAATTTTGTTTAAGAAGTTTTACCGATACTGTAAAAAGTTAATGTCTTAAATTTGTACCCTTGATATAATAAAGCCAAAAATGTTTTATTACATGAAAGTCATAAAAATAATACAATCTACACAAAACAAATTATGTATTATATGAACACTTACAACAGTCCGATTGAAGCACAAAAAAGTGAACAAGTAATTTAATTCATAGAATCTTCAAACTTTTCTCCGAAAAGTTGTCATTTTGCTGATATGGCCTTATTACTAAGTGTGTATTTACCTACACTGTAAATAAAACCATTTAGCCCCTGTTGATTGCATCTCGAATTGATGTAATTAGAATCGTTGGCACTCATTGTACTGGAAATGGTACGATTGAATCAATTACTAACATTACGATCGATATAATACTTTTCTGTTTACAAATATGCAACGAGTGTTACACCTGCAAATTTTGCAATTTCTTAAGCATTCACAGAACGATAAATTGGCAAGAAACCAATTATTTGAATCATAATTTGATTAAGTTTGAGCAATAAAGGCATGTTAATTTCTAATTTTATGGTTTCTGTAATGTTCTGGTTTGATATTCACCGTAGATTGCCTGCAACTAGCTGGAATATTTTAAATTTTCAACAAAAACTTTGATTCATGGAGCTTATCTCAGTGCCGGGCTGTGGCCAACGTCAAAAGATTGTTTATTAATATCTTTCTATATTTACATTCTTGGTGAAAAGTGAATGTATTTTACGTAAATTTATTTATTTATAGAAGCGTATAATCTAAACTACAGTCAATAGTTACACATGATGTAAATTTACATATGAAACAATAATAAAAATGCGTAGCACACATGAACATATACAGCGACCAACACGAGGTGTAAACCATGTGCAAACACACACCCAGAAAAAGGTTAGGTTTGGGGTGAACAAAGACATATTACGGACAACCCCCATTGAGGTCGATCACCCTGAAATACATGATCCATCGGACGCTCCGCCCTTAAGTTTTCATTATCTTACAAAACAATTTGATTTATTTCTTTTCATTTTAATCGATAGTCTAGAATAGAATTTCGTCAGCCGTGACCACAAGACCTGTAAAGAGCCTGGACCGTTGGGATTGTTTGTAAAAACAAATATATTCGATTTATATCCGAAAAAATAGTTTCATTTCCTAGACTAGGTCTTAGTTAGTGTGTGTAGGTTCCTTAATAATAGACTTTATTTTTAAACTTGCATAGGTTTGAACAAAGCACACGGATACATACACTTATATTTACAAAATATACTATTATAGTGAGATGAAAAACTATAATTGTGAGGGGTTCTCAGACGTTGCCGTCAAGACAGCCAGTTAAACTCATGTCGATGTCGGTCTGCTGTAGGTTGTTTTTTTGAATATATGTAGTCATACAGAGAGCTAGGTTAAGTCTAATAATACAAATAATACAATATATATCTAATTTTCATCAGCTTATTGTACGCTTAGCGTATTGACTTTCTTAAAAGAGATGTAGCAGTTACTCGGCCGGATTTGGTTATGTATCTTGACCTCGTATACCAGATTTATGAGGGGTTTATTACCTATTATCTATTACTATATCTATTGCTTAAAACAGATTTGGTACAAAACTAATTTTGTAAAAAAATATCCATTATTTTCTGAATGTAGAAACTTAATTCCCGTATTGAGGAGAATTTTAATGTTGTTCGATACAAAAGAAATCCCGAATACATAAATATATATTTGTAAAAATAAGAAGAAAGTTCTGATACATTGAGCGCTGTCTAGGGAGACAATCTGTCGCCAAAGGAATGCCCTTCAAACAACCTTTTCCTTTCCCCGGGGGTTGTATTTACGCTGTAGTAGATTTTCCTTCATTATTTTCTTTGTCGACATAGTTTTCCTTTCATGCTTTTTTATCGTCAAAGAAAGAATGATAATAATGTTCCAGATAACTACACCGCACCTGGTGTCTAACTAGGGAATTCCCTATGCTATGATTACCAGAGCAGTAAAATTAACTACAGGGCACTCAAAACACAGAACCACTTTAGAAAAGTTCCTTTCCAAATTGGTGACACCTGGAACTGAAACCGGAATCTCCGCATCTAGCGCCCATAGTGCAGACTGCTGGGCCACCAAGCTCATAAATAACCTCTCATAGGGACAATTTTGGACGCTGGGTTTTATACTTAGTACGTTCTCATTATTATTAATTTAAACTTTAAAAGTAAAGATCAGTGTGCATTGCACGTACGAATAAAAA